TTCTGTTTCTCCATATTCTGTCCTAATGGCAACTTCTTGTCCAAAATTTATTGTAGATTAAGAACCAAAATAATCAAGTTGAAGCATTCCAGTTCTATTACAATGATCCATAGCTTTTCATGATCCGCACAGTCAAAGGCTTTGCTATAATTTATGAAGCACAATCAAAACACTGCTACTAAATAGTCTCTCTGGCTTTCTGCTCTCATCAGTCCCAGGCAGCATAGTGAATGATCAAATAATGTGATAGATACTCCAAAACATCTAGAGGGAATTGGGTTGTCTATCCCTACCCTGACAGGTAGCCTAAAAAAACACTTATGGTGGTGGTGATTGTGATGGTGTTTGTGGCACTTCAGAAATCATAGACATAGATTTCTGACACTTTCGTCTAAGGTAAAAGGAAGTTCATTTCCAAAAATGGAGACCCAACACTGCCTCTCCTTTCCAATATACATTGCCAGGTGTAAAATCATGCCAGAACACCAAATGTCAGCTTTCAATCTACACATTGTGGTTGAGTTTAATTGCAGATCTCATTACTACAACACTGCCCCATATCCCTGTCTCTTAACCTCACCTATACTTCTGTAGCACCTACACTGATGAAGAGTTCTGGAGAAGCTGAAAGCCTGTGTGCTTTTGTGGCATTTTTACTTAATCCAATAAACACACTGTCTAGCAGTGGATGTGTTTGCTTTTTCTCATCGACCAACATCACTACTGCTGGTGGTGATAATGATGCCATGCTACAATTTGAATATACTACAGTTCTACTGTGATTTAATTGCATTTATATTCTCTTCTTTTTATACCTGATCTATAATTCTTTCAACTTTTTTACTTTTTTGATACATGCTAGGTTGCAATCCCCTTCATGGATTGCTGCCTTGTTGTGGTGAAGGGCCTTGAGTAATTCAGAGAAACTATGGGCTATGCTGTGCAGGGACACCCAAGATGGACAGATCATAGTGGAGAGTTCTGACTAAACGCAATCCACCTGGAGCAGGAACTGGCAAGCGACTCCAGTATCTTTGCCAAGAAAACTCCATGGACAGAAACAAAAGGCTAAAAGATATGATGCTGGAAGATGGGACCCTCAGGTCGGAAGGCATCCAGCATGCTACTGAGGAAGAGTGGGGGACAAGTCCAAGTTGCTCCAGAGCTTATGAAGTGGTTGGACCAAAGCCGAAATGACGCTCAGCTGCGGATGCTCCTGGAAGTGAAAGGAAAGTCTGATGCTGCAAAGAAAAATACTGCATGGGAACCTGGAATGTAAGATCTATGCAACTTGGGAAGCTGGATGTGGTCAAACAGTAGATGACAAGAATAAACATTGACATCCTGGGCGTCAGTGAACTAAAATGGATGGGAATGGACAAATTCAATTCAGACAATTATATCTACTATTGTGGGCAAGAATCCCGTAGAAGAAATGGAGTAGCCCCCATAGTCAACAAAAGAGTGGGAAAAGCTCAATCTCAAAAATGAGGAAATGATTTCAATACTAATACCTGGGGAAAACACACAAAGAAATGACCGTTTCTAGGTTAAATATTTGTGGGGAGTTTAGCATTTCTGTTTTTATCCTTCCTTTTTCCTTTAAAGGGCCCAAGGTGGCTTATATCAATTAAAAGATAATATAAAAGCTAACAACCGTGATTATAAAAATCAACAAATGCCATACAAATAACATAAGCAACAACAAAATACATCCAAAGCAATAACATACATACAACAATCCATTTAAAAAAAAAAAAACACCACTCAGGCAGCCAGGTACTGAGGGAAAACCTGCCTGAAGAGAAAGGTCTTTGCCCGCTTGCAGAAGGACAGCAAAGGTGGGGCCAGCCTGGCCTCTTGTGGGAGGGAGCTCCAAAGCCTTGCATGTAAAATATTGGCAAGCATGTAGTTGAAAACTGCCTCTAGAAATGATGATGAACTAGAATGCTCCCATCCTGGTGTATTTTTTCTCCTCAGCTGCACAACACCAGGATTAGAGACCTTAGTGATACGGTTAGGTCTACTAACTCTGTCATGATAAATCTAATCACACAGTTCAGGTAAAGATGGTTGAATGCAACTGAAAATATACTCTGATGTTTAATAATGTTAAAATTGTTTTTAAAAGTATAACATAATCAATATAATCAAGACTTCTAAGAGCTTTTCCACATTACAGAGCCGAGAGCTAACAAGTTACAAGTTGGCTGTATCATAACTACTTGCTCAGTTACTTTATTAGCAATGAGTAATGTAAGAAGTAGTGACAAACTTACAATGTAAAATATGGCATGCCATAAAAATCCACCCCCTAGTAATGAGTAACATACGTTAGTCAACAAGTAACACTTACTTCAAAAGTTACTTTTAAGATCATTTTAATGAACTTTTAGAAACTTGGTGACAGGAATTTTCCAGGTGTTATGCCAATATTTCAATCAACCCTATGTGGGAATGGAAATATTTTGGGGGGTTTTATGTTGTTATAAATATTCCCAAGATGAAACATGGGCATCGGTCACTAGAGAACACTTTCCCACATTTTTCTGACCTGTTGGTAGCAGCAACACAACTTGTTAACAACATTCAATGCAACAAATTTTCTGTGTGGTTGGAACAATGTAACCTAAATCTGGCTGTGAAGAGGTAACTTTAGCTACTCTAAAGTTCCTTTTAAAATGTAACATTCCTATCTCTGCTTATTTATGGCAACAATGTTAAGAAAAATGTCTTATTTGTTAGAGCGGACAATGGAACCAATTACCTTGGGAGGTGCTGAGCACTCCAATGCTGGAGGCATTCAAGAGAAAATTGGACAACCATCTGCTTTGATTTGGAATCCTGTACTAAGCAGGGGGTTAGACTCGATATAGGTACCTTCCAACTCCATTATTCTATGATTCTACAATTATATAATAGACATACTAAAATGAATAAGAAATGATACTACTTTCTTACCAATTTCTTGACAGAAACCCTTAAGATGGGGCTTTCATTACAGGGATATAGCAGTTTCAAAACCTCAGATATTACATTTGCAAACGGGAGAAAATACACTTCTTTACACAGATAATGCATCATTAAACTATTGATTATATGAATTATATGAAATGTAATTGTACTAGTGACATTGACATCTGTTACACAGTGGTTATGATGCAGAGCTGACCCAAGATAGTTTACTGCCTAAAGCAAAGAGCAAGATGGCAACCATCCTCCATTCTACATACAAAAGTTGAGCAATCCGTTAGCAGAAGGATAACATCACTGGCAAAAGAATGATGTCCTTCACTAGACCCGGGGGCAACAGCCATATTTAGGAGATAGGGATCAGCTATAAAGTATACACAGGTCAGTCCTCCCCTACAAGAAAATGGTGGGAGTATGGAGAAAAGCCAGGAGGCTAATATTGCTGCCCCTCATTCTCTGCCACCTGAGGCAGTTGATTCTCTTTGGAAAACAGTACTCTTGGCCCTTCTAGCATCAATAGACACATAACTGTTACACATACACATATTCAATTTTGTGATGGAAAAAGTTTTTGTACCTTTCTGTCACTATGCTACACTCCCTGTAAAATTATCCAGTCCAAGGTTTCAAATCCAAGATATTTCCAGGCATACATGCCCTTCTAGCACCATGTCCTTAAAATAAGAGAACCACAGAATAGTGGTGTCCTTGCCACAAAGCTATCTTCATATACATCACCTGGGGATGGAACATAGCCTTATTCATACCAGATATAGGATTAATAGAATGCTACAAACAAGCGGAGAACTTCAGTTTGTCCTGAAGAGCATATAGCCAATTTGTTCATAATAATGTCACTATATATTTCAAGATAAAATCATCTAATCATTTGCAGCCACTGACGCTTTATTACTAAATACATGAATCAATGCAATCAATTTCCTGTCCCGGGGAGGCAGCATCCATGGCAATTGCTGGCTTTTTCAGTCAACATGTCCTTCTCATCCTTGCCCAAGCAGGGGCAGCTAAAACACTGTGATAGGAATATGGATACATCTGATTAATTTGAGAGATGGAACAGAAATAAGCACAAACAAACCATTGAAACATTTTATTCTATGTTTATGAATAGAACCAGTCCTTTCTTAATGAGTGTTTAATTCATATTGGGGGAGGGGAATTGGCCTTGAATGGCCTACTAAGGTAGCTTTCTGGGTTTTTATATATGTCCAAAAACTATATAAATATATATCCAACTAAATGAACATTTGGTCTGAACTATAAAGTACTTAAAGTACTTCACTACAAGCTTTCACGATAAATGCTAAATTTCACCCATGTTGTCAGAGAGTCAGAGATTTGTCACTGCCATCACATGGAATGAGACTGGCACTTCAGATTTTGAGTGCCAAGAAGGGGCAGCAGTTAACTATTTGAGTTGTTATTATTATTTTTTAGCATTTGAGATTAAGAAAGGAACATGAAGCACTCTGTGCCGAACTTGTTGTTGCTATGTGCCATCAAGTTGCTTTCAACTTATGCTGACTCTAATAGAGGTTTTGAGGTATGTGAGATGTTCACGGAACAACTAAACAATGTCACACAAAGAGAGAGAGAGAGAGAGAGAAACAGTAAATGTCCATGGTTAAGTGGAGGTTTGAACCCAGGTCTTCTAATATTCTATTCATTACACCACACTGGCTCTTGAGCCAAAATTACTTGCTTAGATTTGAACTCTGTTTACCTCACATGGTTGCTGGCACCATCTACCTCAGTCAACAAAGCATTCTATTATAACCCTAATTTACCCAAGGCAGGGTGATGAAGACAGAAGGTGGCTTCAGATTGGATTTGCTCAGACATCATAAGGGAAGAATTCTTGTAGCCTGAACTAATTTAACTGCATAGGTGTAAACTCATCTATAAGTGGGAAAGTTATCTAATAAAACGAGGCAGTCATACTAATGATGATTACAGATGACTCATGGTTTGATTTTATAATTCAGTTATCATTAATACTTTCTTACTTCTCCAATGCACTTTTGGCCAATCTTTCCTTCTCCTTTTTCTGACGTTCTTTGTGCTTCTTAACTCGAATCTCCCACAAGCCTCTTATGGCTGAAAAATCCAACACGATCACCTGATGCCCCATACTGATGGCATTAAGATTCTCCTGCAGGAACAATGTATAAAGACATGATAAGGAAAATGAATACCTCACACAGTTCTATACAGCTAGCTTTCTTTTTAGGAAAAGGAGTTAATATAACTTGTACCATATGATTATGCTGATAACAGCACTTTGTCACATGTTATTAGACACATTGCTGTAAAATTATTTTACAGAATCCTAGGCTGGATTCTTACTTGTATGCATACATCCAAGGATGAGTAGCTAAATTCACAAACAGCTGACTTCTTGCTATTGTATTTTGGGCATCTCCAGGCCCAGATGTCAAGATCACCTGGTTGGTCTAGCACAGCCATTCTTAACTCTCCCCCCCCCCAATGGCCATAAACATAATATGAAAGAAAAACAGGCTGAATCAGGATTGTATAAGTCATATAACAAGCCTTATAATGTGGTGAGTAAAGAATATTTTCTAGTCTGTCACCCCCTTCAAGTGTGCCCACCCCCACAAGGAGCCATATAGCCCCTATTGTTGAGAATGTCTGGTCAAGGATACCATGTACCTTACCAATAAAAGACAGGTCTATGTGCATCGGGGAGCAAAATGTCTTGAGATGGCTCTTACTGCAGTCACATGGTGACAGGAAGTGATATGTAGGTCCTGCCTGTGCTTCTACATGATGTGATAACTGATTATCTGATGATACAAGCAAAATATATGCATGTTTGAACAACCATCCACTCTTATTTATAGAACAAAACTGTTATGAGAGTTTGATAACATTGGGTTTTCTGGTTTGGTGAGGTATTTAGAATTATCTGCTAGAACATTGTAGTGCCCCTCCCCCTTTTCCAGCAAGGAAATGCCTCTTCAGATGTCACCTGTCAATATTCAAATCTGAGCTGAAGGCAAACTCCCTTCAGCTTGTGAGGATATTCCCAAAATCTAAACTCCTTCCTTTCCCTTGCTGCCCAATTTGTCTCCTGAAAACCAGCTCTGGAGTACATTTTGATGGTGCATGAGAGCTCAGGGGAACGACCCACCTTCCCAATTGTGCTGACAGAAGATGTTCTGTCAATAAAGACCTACCCACTGGTATCAAGGCCTACATATGACACATTTCTTTAACTATCCAGTTACTGTGCTCACATATAACTTCACTGTAGTTCTAATTCTTACCAGAGGTCAACTGAAAGAGCAAAGCTCCTGTCATAAATGTTCTGGACAGGGTCCAGGAAACTATTATCATCTCTGTTTCTGAAAATGGCACACTGGGCTCCTTAATGACCAACAGATCCTTACTTTATGTCTCATTAGAACACAGCACCTCCGACAGTGCCCCATACCTGTGTGCTGGGACACTGCTGGCATCATGACAAGCCAATCAGCTATTCAACTGCATCCCAAATATAGCTAGAAAAGGAGCAAAATTGGCTTCCCTTGCTCAGAGTTACTGCTGAAGATGTAATCATTTTGACTTGGCTTTGATCATGAAATGCAGCTAATCCATCCATCCAGGCCTTTTGTTATGCTTACTTGTTCATAAAGTTGTTCACTGAGCCAGTCTGAGAGATTTCTATGAAACAGAAGTCAGAAAGCCTTTTAAAAATAATTGCTACAACCCAGATAAAAATGTCTGTTTCTTCCCCTCCCCCTTTAAAGCTTCACTTGAGATTTCATTAGATGCCATTTTTATTACACTTAATAAAAGAGAGCTAGGGGCTCTCAATCCAATATGAGAAAAATAGCCTATTCTTTTCATTTCTTTTCAAAGGGTAGACAGATTCATGGAGGGTGGCTATTAGTCATGCAGGCTAATTGAACCATCCATGAAAATCACTGAATGCCAGTTGCTGGGGGAGGCAGTTTATACAACAGAGAATGAGCTGTTTTTTTCACAACATGATTGTCGGGTTCCAGGAAGCATCTAGCTAGCCGTGCACTGTGGGAAATAAGATTGCAGAATGGGAGGGATCCTGCAAATCTCTCCTGATATTCTTACATTCTCTTTCAGCTACTATTTCAGAATCTGAAAAAACTGTTTCCCAGATGTACGGCTCTGAAAATCCTTTGGCCACCATAGCTAATGATCATGCTGGCTACAGCACTGAACCCTGTTGCCTTCAGTACAATTTTTCCAAAGTCAAATTATTTTTTCAGCTGATCCCCACCACTGGATTCTCCAGGCTGATATTCCACTGAACACTTTAACAGTCATTCTCTTTGTCACAACCTCAGTCTCTGCCACTGACCCTTCTATGTATATCACAGAAGTGAGTACAGCCCTTCACATTTCATAAATATTTTAGTATATCTTTTCATGTGACAACACTGAAGAAATGACACTTGGCTACAATGTAAAGCAGTGAGTATACAGCTTGTATAACAGTGTCAATGTGCAGTTCCCTCAAAATAACGCAACACACAGCCATTAATGTTTAAAAGTGAGTACACCCCTAAGTGACAATGTGCAAATAGGGCACAAAGTGTCAATATTAGGTCTGACCACCATTATTTTCCAGCACTGCCTTAACCCTCTTGGGCATAGAGTTCACCAGAGCTTCACAGGTTGCCACTGGAGTCCTCCCTCTCCTCCATGATGACATCACAGAGCTCATGGGTGTTAGAGACCTTGCGCACCTCCACCTTCCGTTTCAGGATGCCCCACAGATGCTCAATAGGGTTTAGTTCTGGAGACATGTTTGGCCAGTCTGTCACCTTTACCCTCAGCTTCTTTAGCAAGGCAGTGGTCATTCTGGAGGTGTTTTTGGAGTCATTATCATGTTGGAATACTGTCCTGTAGCCCAGTCTCCGAAGGGAGGGGATCATGCTCTGCTTCAGTATGTCACAGTATATGTTAGCATTCATGGTTCCCTCAATGAACTGTAGCTCCCCAGTGCCGGCAACACTCATGCAGCCCCAGACCATGACACTACCATCACCATGCTTGACTGTAGGCACAACACACTTGTCTTTGTACTCCTCACTTGGTTGCAGCTACACATGCTTGACACCATCTGAACCAAATAAGTTTATCTTGGTCTCATCGGACCACAGGATATGGTTCCAGAAATTCATGTCCTTAGTCTGCTTGTCTGCAGCAAACCATGAGCAGGCTTTCTTGTGCATCATCTTTCGAAGAGGTTTCCTTCTGGGATGACAGTCCTGGAGACCAATTTGATGCAGTGTGTGGCGTATGGTCTGCGCATTGACAGGCTGACCCCTCACCCCACCCCTTCAAACTCTGCAGCAATGCTGGTAGCACTCATACATCTATTTCCCAAAGCCAAGCTATGGATATGACACTGAGCACAGGCACTCAACTTCTTTGGTCGACCATGGCCAGGCCTGTTCTGAGTGGAACCTGTCCTGTATGGTCTTGGCCACTGTGCTGCAGCTCAGTTTCAGGGTTTTAGCAATCTTCTTATAGCCTAGGCCATCTTTATGTAGAGCAACAATCCATTTTTTCAGGTCCTCAGAGAGTTTGTTACCATGAGGTGCCAGTGACCAGTCTGACAGAGTGAGGGTGGTAACACCTGCTCCCCCTTCACACCCGAGATTTGTGACACTAACAGGCCTCATGACACCGGGGAGGTGTGTTTTGTTTGTTCAGTCGTTTAGTCGTGTCCGACTCTTCGTGACCCCATGGACCAGAGCACGCCAGGGAGGTGTACTTGGGCCCAATTTGGACACTGTCACTTAAGGGTGTACTCCCTTTTGTGAGTTTTGGTTTGGACATTAATGGCTGTGTGTTGCGTTATTTTGAGGGGACAGCACATTGACACTGTTATACAAGCTGTATACTCACTGCTTTACATTGTAGCCAAGTGTCATTTCTTCAGTGCTGTCACAAGAAAAGATATATTAAAATATTTATGCAATGTGAGGGGTGTACTCACTTCTGTGATATACTGTACCTGTATGTGCATGCATGCATGTGTGCGTATGTGCATCTTGTCAGACCTTAGTGCAGTAGTGGGAATCACTGGGCTATGAGCTGCAGACAGAAACCACCCATTAATCATACTAGAAAGCATGGACAGCTGTCACAAAGGCACGGATTTGTTCTCTGCATTGAATATTCTTCTGGATTTCTTAAAGATGGAGTGCTATATCTGAATGTTCACAAGGAAGTCCATTTCCTCAGATAAGAAATGGGCTTGTCCACAAAAGCTCACATTCAAATACAGCAGTTAGTTTTTAAGGTGTTACAGTGTTTTTGTCTTTATTTTTAATTTTTATGTTGTTTTTCTTAATATGCTAGCAGGGACTAACTTAGCTACCTCTTCTAAAACTGTGGATTTCTTGTGTTCATAAGTGGTATTTTATTTTATTTTATTGTTTCATTTTGTTTTTTAATAGCTGGCTAAAGGTCATGACAATAATTGGTCGTGATGATAAATATAACTCTAGTACTGTTTCTGTGATCCCCAGGGCCCTCCCAGATTCATCCAGATACCCTCAGCCAGAATATTAAGATTGAATGTGAAAGATGGCATATAATTAGATATAACAATTTAGTGTTTAGAGATTTTGTAGACTACTAGATATTGGTACAGCCTGTAACCTAATATTTTTGCATTGGACATTGGAGGAGGGGTCACCTTCAGGGACTGGACATTTTACATCCTGAGACAGTAAAAATATATTTGTTCTTTTCACTGAAAAATCACACCTACTATTTGGCCACTAGTATAGGGAATATAGGCGTAGAGCCTATTTAGCGAAGCTATCACAGGCCAGTGCAAAGACCCTGGTGACAGCATAAGCCCCAACAGGAGAGGGCACAAAGGTGTTTGCTCACAGTTGTGAACTGAAATCCAGTAGTCAATTCTGAAGGGCAGGAAATTAGATTAAAGTAGCTACTGGGAGTACCGTCATAATTGCAAGAGGGATATGAGGACACACACGTAACAAAGAAGAATCCCAAATTACCTTTTTATTTTATGTTCTTGTTGCATGAGAATGGAAAGGGATATCAATCAAGCTGGCCGCACTGTATACACTAGCCTCTCTCCACAAGCCTTTTATTTTCTATTCA